ATATATATATATATATATATATATATATATATATATATATATATATATATATATATATATATATATATATATATATATATATATATATATATATATATATATATATATATATATATATATATATATATATATATATATATATATATATATATATATATATATATATATATATATATATATATATATATATATATATAATATATATATATAAATTATATATATATATAAATTATATATATATATAATTAAATATTTTTAAAAGGAAGCTAAAAACTAATTCAGATGAATATGAAGTAAGAAAAAGAGAAGAAAAGAAGTGAAAGAGAAAGGTAAAAGTAGAAGAAGAAAAAGTAGAAGAAAAATAGGAAGAAAAAGGAAGAAAAAAAATACACAGACGTAGGTTCTGATCTTTACAGCAGTTATACATACAGTCATAAATTTACCTGTTTCTCTTTGGTTACAACATAAATCTCTTCTCTTACAATCTACCCTGGCTAATCATCTAAACCATAAATCATAAATTCATCTTTTTTTTCTGTTTTAAGCAAAAATTCCATAAAGTGTTTGCAGTCATTTACTTGCAGCTTCTTTTCCAGATGGCTTCATTTAAAATCTGGTATGGAATGCATCAGTGGCACTTAAATTATTCAGCACCTTCTCTTAACCCAGAGGTATTTTTCTCCAGATCAAGAAAGACAATTCTTACTGGTCTCTTTTTCCATCTTCCATCTCTCTCTTACTCTATTCAAGCACATTTACTGTTGCTCCTTTGATTGTCTTCTCAGCACTGTTTCTTCATGCAGCACAATTTCAATTTTTCTGCTAGGAATCCTGCTTCCCAGGGTCCTCCCCCACAAGGTCTTTGCTGAATGAGGGTTACTTGACTCAACTTTTCATCCATTTAATCCAAGGTTAACATCAACATCCTCAATGTGCATTTATTCAAGGTGGACATTTCTTCTACCTAAGGTCTCTAAATTAATCTGACCAGAGATAATAGTATTGCTTTTCTTCTCCATATCCTTCTTAGTGCTCTGATGCAACCGAGATATGAGAGCATGGTAGAAATCAAGAGTAACAAAGAGAAATCGGTTACTTCTAAGCATAGTACAAGTTTATATATCTACTGCATCAATTTTAAATTGATTCAAATATTTGAGTTTCATAGGATTCTTTTGTCTACTGAGCATTCTATACAATCAGCAAGATTGCAGTCTGCCATATAAACCCAAGCCTGTTGAAATAACTATTTTCAACATACAGATTTAATTTCAAATTGTATAGTAACATTAGATTGGTCAATTATTTTCCATTCTTTTCTAAATTGGTCCTCTGCGCTTTTTGAGAGGTTTTTAGCTTGCAAAAACTGTTTTAAAGTCAACATAAACCTCTCTTTATACATTTTGGCCAATTACAAAGGGGCATAACTGTTACCTTAATACTGTGGTTCGTCATAGTCTTGGTCTCTTCAAGGCCACAAGAGGGCTTGTGATATAACCTTCCAGGGCAAAGCTCTAATCAAATGCTGGAAGAAGATGCCGTTTTATAAGGTCAGGTTATGTGCAACCACATTGTTCCCATTTATGTCCGCCTCCCACCCAAAGTAAAATTTTCCCCACTGTCCCTCAAGATAGGGTCAAGGAAAAAAAAGCCAAATAACCTTTTTGTGTACCGTCTCTTAGAGACAAGGGGAGACATCTACCTGCTTTGTCATTTCTCCTCAACTAACAAAACCTACAACCGTCTGCAGAACCAAGCAACCACTTAGAAACCTACAAAAGGAGCTGTAGGCTAGCCAGAGATAATGAGACAGGCTGCATTCGTAAGCATGGCCCCATTAGACTAATTGCCTCAAAAACACAGACCAAGAAGCTAGTCATGCCCTTTTCTTTTCCCAGTCTGGCACGTGGTGGCATCAGCATACTTCCACAGACGCACACGGTTCTTGAGGGAAGAGAATCGAGAGCCCCCCAAATTAGTCTGGGGAGAATGCATTATCCAACAGAGTCTTATACTTTTCACTTGAAAGGGATACTAAGAATGAAATAGTGAACTCTCTTTCTAACAAAGATAGAATCTTAAAAGTACACTGTCTCTGTGACCATCTCTTTGTGCATTGTGATAAGCGAGCCCTAATATGGTTCATTTGGTTCTGGCTTAATGTGTTTTATGTATTTATAACACCAGTCATTGTGAACATGTGAACGTAGACAATTCTAATTTATTAAACCACAGTTAAACAATTCATCAAAACCATCAGTTTCCCTACCTTCAAATCCTTAAATGAAAAAAACAACCTTGATACTAAAAGAGTTGAATTCATGTGATATTCAAACCTAAAAACCATAACTTGCCTAGAACAAAAACAAGCCCAGGATTTTTATTCTTACTTTGTCACAAGTAGTTACACTAAAACTGCAGTATTCACTGATCAGGAGTTACTTCTCCATGGAAGTCCTTCTCAATGGTTTTGTTGTAATTATATTTCATGCTCAGCAATTCAATCTGTTTTCCCCCAAATTAACTTTGATTGTGACCAAATTCACTTTAGTTGATAGCTGCTTGATTGGTTTTTTTTAGTAAAAGGCTTATTGCACAAATCTGATGAACAGGTTTTGCAAAAAGTACAGTTAAAATTGAGAAATTGTATTGTGGGAGGAAGGATTCAGCCTTTCTGACCCTCTTCTCAAAGTTTTCTTTTCTTTTCATAAACAGAAAAAAGATTTCAAAAAAGAAAAGGCTCAGGAAAGAAAAAAGTGAAAGTGCAAGCAAGATAGAGGAAAAAGAGAAAAAGAATGACTTCCAACTTTTGGGGGGGCATGTGTGTGTATGTACAAATGCATTAAAGTCTTACTTTAAGATTAACATTTGTTTATATTATTTCTATACATTCATGCAACAGATCCCAAAATCAAGTTTTCATTTCTTTCAGTTTCTCACAGAAAGTCCAAAAATGGTTTCCCAGTAGAAATAAAACTTGTCAAAGTCTTTCCTTTCATCAAAGCTGCCCCATCCCTGTCAATTCCACCAGCTTCACCTCCAATCTTCCATTGTAGGTATTTCTAAATCCTTCCACCTTCCATTCCTGTTTATTCTTGCAACACACTCTCACCACACAAACCTGTTCTTCTCTTCCATCTCTCTTTCACACATTGCCCTTAGTGGATAACCAGAGTCTGAGAGCTCTGCCCAAGAACTTGAAATGACTTTCTGCTAGTACTCTATGAGGACTGCCTTACTTTGTAATGCTTTCCTTTGAGATGCCTTGTGAATCTCCCTAGTTGGGAGCAAAACTAAATGGAAAATGCTAAGCTTTTGCTGATATCTAGCAGCTATCCAGATTTTTGCAGCCTGGAACTGATGGCCCCAGAGGACAAGGAAGAACATAACCATCACCATCCCAAGGAGGTTTAAAGTATCCTTTTGAAGAAGTGGACAAGATTGAAAGAGGAAAATACTCACGATAGAGGAATAATTAGTGAAGATGATGGAATTTGTGGAGATGGTAAATTCTTTGATCAGAGAAAAAAAACCTAACCACTTAATATTTATGGCTGACTGGAATGCTTTAGAGATTTTTTTGCATGAAGTGGGGAAAATGCACTTATTTGTGGTTTTGCTAAATAGATAAAAATTGGGTAACAGAAAAAAAGGAGGTTTTCTTTTTTGTAATCAGAATGAGAGATAATTTTGTAACTGTGCTTCCATTATATTTGCTGCATAGGAGATATGAAGTTTCTTTCAGTTTCATTTTATTCTTTCTTTTCACTTTTTTTCTTTTCTCTTCTTTTACTTTCTACTATTTGTGTTAGTTTTTATGTTCTTTTTATCTAAAAACATTGACAGGAGAAAACCCATATGTGCTACATACACATGACATACTAATCCTGAGTTTAGTTAACCATGGTTTATTGAATTACCACCAATGACCTGGATTTGCATAACAAAGTGAACCATTCACTAACTATAGTAGTTCTGTTTGTGCTAACACAGCCAATGCCACTAAAAAATAAAATTAAAAGGAAAACTACTTTAAAATCTAGTAAACCCACTGAGGAAGAATAGTTATCCTTTCTCTACTTAGGTGTAGTATTCACTGCTGTAAATAGAACAGAATAAAATACATGGAGCAGAGAAATAATAATAATAGTAGTAGTAGTAGTAGTAGTAGTAGTAATAATAATAATAATAATAATAATAATAATAATAATAATAATAATAATAATAATAATAATAATAATAATAAAAGTTGGAAGGGACCTTGGAGGTCATCGACTCCAACCCCCTGCTCAGGCAGGAACCCTACATCATTTCAGACAAATGGCTGTTCAGTCTCTTCTTAAAAATGTGTTGCATCCTAAGGACATCTGGCTTGGAACTTGGGAAATGGAGAAATTACAGCAGTATTAAGGAAAATTAACCAACCATCTCCTATTTCCTTTTCTATATTTGCACTTTTAGGCTTCATGGTAAGGCTACCACATCTGGAGTGCAAAATTCAGATATCCAGTCTTCTCCTTCTCCTTCTTCCTTTAGACTACCAATCATTGACCAAAAATAAGACATTATTGGTACATGTTTCTGGTAGTAGTCTACATATCAGCAGATGGCTGGGTTCTGTGTCTCTCCATGTTCTCGTAGCATGTTGTTATTTACTAAGAGCCTCCACTTGAGCATACTGGTTTTACATTTAAAAACTCCAAATCTCAACCGTTTCAGGGTCCTCCAAGTAGTATAAGGGAGGTCAGATCCTCCAGCCATTTCCTCCTTTACTGTTATTCCTACTGTTGCAGCTCTGATACGGTGGCACTACATTTACAAAAGAACAGCTTGTTTATCTAAATAAGCTGTTTATCTGGAACTTTTAAGTGGTTCATTCAGTCTTGTATGTTCATTCAGGTATAAGTGATGCATATGCATAGAGCTTATATCAGGATTCTTCATGCATACAGGCTATTAACAAGCTTTTTCCAGGTGAAGAGAAACAGCAAACGGTCAGACTAGGTGTAGGTGCAGCACAGTATATCAAAAGGAATCTTACCAATTGTCTATACAATAGTGGCTGGTGAAAGTTAAGGCTTGGGACCAAGTAATGGCCTTACAAACCTCCAGCACTCAAAGATTCCTAAATAAAGCAATAGCTTTCATAGAATGTCCTTTGATGCCTACTGAGATGGATCTAGCTTGTACATGTTAAGTCCCCTAAGAATTGATTAAAGGAAAAAGAAGTATCTAAAGGGATAACTGCAGCTAAATCTTGAATGACTAGAAGAATCATAATATTGGCAACAACCAAAGGATAAAGAGCAATGACATAAGGAGAAGTCTTCTGATGTTGAATGGTGGGAAGTATGCAACTAGACACTTGTCCCATTTGGGAAGAAACAGAGCACATCCCCTTCTGAGACAACAGCATACAGCATATATACCTTGGCAAGTGGCACATATTTATAACAGTTGCATTGTCCTGGAGTCATGTGAGGTCACCATTTCTATCCTTCTCAGCCAGCTTCTGACAAGCCAATTCAATGGGAGATGATTTGCTTAATGACCGCATGATTCGCTTAACAACTATGGCAAAAAGATCATAAAATGGGGCAAAACACACTTAGCAACTGCCTTGCTTAGCAACAGAAATGTTGGACTCACTTGTGGATGTAAATCAAGGACTATCTGTAATTGGATCTGGTACAAAATTCTAACAAGTGTTTAAACTGGATGCCAAAAAATCAATCCTTCAAATATAGAAAATATTGAGTACTACTGCTTGGTGAAACCATTATTTGGTTTGATGGCCCCAAAAGCACTTTGACCACAGGAAGAAATCCCATGTAGCTGACGTGTATGTTTGGTATTGTAATGGAATATTCAGATATCTCTCGTGTATTTTGATATCATTATGAGCCTCCCAATTTGTCCAGGAGGCACTTGCCATCGTTCATGTAAAAGGAGATTTTGATTTTGTCATGTATCAAAACAAAACATTTCACAGGTTCTTCATGCTGAGTCATATAAATGCTTAATCTGTGGAACTTGCTAGAAGACACAAATATAAAAGACTGAAGAAAGCCCTGAAGCAATTTAGCAAGAGAGGCGGGGTAATAGTTCTTGTTAACCTTTCTAAAAATGAAGGCAAGAAGTGCTTTATATAGAATTTTATGGCTTGTGTACAGTTGTTGAACTTACAAAGATCAAAAGAAGACAGAGAAAGGAATATAAAATTCTTTTTTAAAAAAAAGAATGCCAGAGTAGGAGGATTACTTTTTACAGGTTCTAGAGTACCTTTTCATTGTAATTTCTTTTCTTTCTCAGAAGTCTTGGAGTGGAACACCATGGCAAGTATTTCACACTGATGTTGTTAGGACTAGAAAGGATTATGGAAAGCATTTATTGGTCTATTACGTTCTTCCAAGGAGGTACCATGAGATATCAAATGTATGCTGAAGGAAGGGTCTGTATCTATCACTGTGGAATCAAAAACATTGTTTTTATCTCTGATTCACAGGGTAGAATTCCAGGTCTTGGAGTTGAGACGAGAACCCTCATGAATGTAGCACAGCCACATATATGCATGCATGGATTAACATTAGATTAGATGAATGGAACAAAACTGCCTCTTTACTGAGGGTGGAATGTATTTCTGAAATCAGTATAATAGACCAGTGATGGCAAACCTTTTAGAGACCGAGTGCCCAAACTGCAACCCAAAACCCACTTATGCATCGTCGGGTGCCGGGTGGGTGTGGCCCATTGTCTGGGTGTGTCCCATTGGGTGGGCGTGGTTGCGGTGGTAACAGCAGACTGGGTGGGACTAAAAAGTTCAATCAATCGATTCCAACTTTGCAAGATCATTTTTTTCCCCGCGAGAAGTTGAAATTGACTGATTGATTGAACCTTTTTTTTTTTTTGCACACGGCTGCGGAGGCCTAAAGCGAAAAGGGTTTATAA